TTCAAGGTTTTCTGTAGGCTGCTGGCTACTTATTTTAAACGGGTAAAATCTGAAACTCTTATATGCAGCACATATTGTGACGAGTTGACTGTAGGAGCCGGTGACAAAACTACAATTTTTAATTTTCTTTCATTTTTCGCATTACATTGTAGCTGGCAGCCTGTGTTGTTGTCGATACTTTGATTGTGGAGAAAGACTTTTCAATCCATAAACACAATTAAGAGAAAAGAGTCTTTAAAAATTGATGGTAAAACAAGACACTCCAGCATCCCCTTAAGAATCTTTATTTTAGACCGCATATGTGAGAAACACAATCAATACTAGAAATTTAAAATGCCTATTAGGTCGAAGCTGGATCTTCATTGCTTTAAATAATTCAATCTTCCAGACTATAAACGCAATTAAAACCACTCTAGTAATCGCGAATTAAATTGACAAGCAATTTAATAGTTTGATGCTATTGTCAAGCATCATATTATAAAGATGTTAATGTGTTGAAACTATTAATAAATTTACATATTAACCCTTCGTTAACACTCCTTTTTCTTTATCGCTCTTTGACACACTGAGTGGCTCACACCCAGAGCAATGTTTAAACAACTGACATTCTTATTTAAAAAAATAAGTCAATCAATATGAAAAAAATTATGGATCAATTTCAAGGTCTGTAGAATACATTCAAATAGTTTTTGATTGAGATTTCATTACAGTTTTTGTGAAAAAAAACTCTTGAGTTCAATGAATAGAAAAAAAACGAGAAAAATCTTTGAAAAATTGTAACTTTTAAAAAATTTAATATTAAAATTAAAAAATTTACAGAATTATTCAGATACGATACTTTAAAAAAAAATTAAGAGTTGATTTTGAATAAAAAGAATATTTATTTTACATGTTGAATGTAGGCTATTTTGAAAACTGAAAAAAACAAATTTTTTTTATAAACATTGTATTTTTGTTCTACAAAATAAAAGAAAATTGAGTTTCAGAGAATTAAAATAATTTTGTGGATGGTTCACACCCAGATATGTCAACGAAGGGTTAATATTACATATTGTATATCAATATGTAATATCAAAATGAAAATATATGAGTTAAATGAAGCATTTTTAATTTAATAACTAAAGGCTAAATGTTTTTACATCAAATTATTTTATTTTTATTAAATTACCATTTTACCAGTCTCCAAAAATTATTGACTATAAATTTTCCGAATAAATTACCGTAAAATTTGATCATTTTCATCTCTCTGTGGCCGAATAAATAGCCAGTCTTTACTCATCTCCTCGCACGATCTTTTTTTTTTATCCGAAAGATAATGAGCAGAATACAGATTATCCGATCGATCGAGGCATGGAGGATCCAAGTCAAATATATATATACACAAAGAATCTTTATGTTTGTCTTAATATTATTATTTCAGTATAAAGAAACAAAAATTATAAGTAATGTCTACAACTTGAATCTTCTGTGCCATGATTCGATTGTGTTGTTATAACGATAAGGGAGAATCATATGAGGCGGATTTTATGAAGGAGCTGGCTATTTATTCAGAGTCACAGAGCATGCATGTGTTACATGAGTATAATGCTCCGTGGCTGAACAAATAGCCAGCTCCTTCGGCCTCATAAAATCCGCTTCATACGAGTCTCCCTTATCGAATCGTTGTGACAACACGATCGAATCATGGCACAAAAGATTCAAGTTGTAGACATTACTTATAATTTTTGTTTCTTTATACTGAAATAATAATATTAAGACAAACATAAAGATTCTTTGTGTATACATATATTTGACTTGGATCCTCCATGTCTCGATCGATCGAATAATATGTATTCTGTTCATTATCTTTTGGACCAAAAAAAAAAAGATCATACAAAGGAGATGGGTTAGGACTGTGTAACGTAAGCATATCGTGGCAGGATTCGATTGGCGTACACTGAACCTTTTGGTGGCGATCGAACAGCAATCACCGAATATCGCGGATGGTGTCCATATGGACAGACAAGAGACGGATGTGGGTGCAGGTGATCAGGTAATCCATTCTCAGTCCATGCCACAGAACAGTAAAAAATAATTCAATGTTCTTATTTCTTACTCTTCCCTCTCCCCCTTCCTGGAAAGATTGCCTCAAAATCTGTTTTGCTATTCTGTGTGTCACAAGCGTGTGTTACATCTACGTGTGTGATAATGCAAGCACTCGTACAAGTATTTGTAAGCACTATTGTTGTAAGATAATACTATACATATTTTTATGAAAAATTCTTCACAATGCTGCGTCAATCGTGCAGGAAATTTCTAATTTGACAGAAATATCTCGAAGATGAATTACAAAGCACTGGAATGTGATTCCAACAAAGTGCCGATACTACTTATCATGTTTATAGGAAGTAAGGCTGCTTGTAATATGTTCAGATACACACATACATATAACATTATTCATTATGTATAATAAGTTCATTGTTTAATCTATAAATAAGTATAACATGTACCAGACAGAAGAATTAGTATTTCAAAGAATTGAAATTTATTTGATATTTTGAGAAGTTTGTCTGAACTCGTACATTCAGCCATCGTATTAGTTTTAATCAAGCCAGGATCAATGCAGTATGATAAAAGCCCGATACATCGAAATGGCGGAATCTCGTGAAAGAAGAATGTTGATGCATTAACAGCAGTGAATATCTTTATCTTACGTAGTTGATTTCTGCAGGTTTTGACTACAAGCTGTGCAATGTTCTGTTGGCACTCGACGCTCAGTCACCAAATATCGCGGCAGGCGTTCATGAAAACCGTAGCGACGAGGAAGTGGGAGCAGGAGATCAGGTCAATTAGCATTTCCATCGTTGAATTTATCTTTTCTCTTTGTTTCCTGTTTTCTTCTCTTTGACCGTTTGCCTCCTGCGCTACTAAGTACATTCTTTACAGTACTAGTTGTAACATCACTTCTTCTTTACTTCACTTATATCCCACTAGCCCGTTTCTTATTTCTTCACTGTAGAGGTGGAAGTGGTATTTGACATATTGAGTGTCTTTCTTTGCTGCATTATCACAGTCGTCTAAATGCACTATTATACGAATGATTCTGTTGTGAATTCTGTAGCTGGATCTGGAATATAGAAAGTGCGAAATTGATTGTGTAGAATATAGTCTGCATGAAAGTTTATGTAGATTTGAAAACATTTGTACGTTTTACACTATTATAGATCCACGATATCTCCATAGAATAATCACTTCAGTATGATTCTATTTTGTTAGTTGAGAATGTAATTTATTGTTAAATAATTTAAATTAAATTAAATTGATCTAGCTAAGATCATAATCCTAATCGAATTTATTAAGTAGTTGTTATGTAATTAAATTGGTTGGTTGTGTTAATAATGATGTAAATATTTTGTAAATAGTTTCTTTACTGTAATTGTTAATGACAATATCCCTTCTATCATATTTACATGTTCTGTTCTGTGTGTGGCACTCTTTACTGCATTATTTTTTATTGCTTTATTACTTGCTTTTTTATATAGTTCTGTATAGCACCACATGTATATTAATATTATACAATAATTTACTCTTCACAAAAGCTTTTCTATTTTTATTTAAACTTTCTTTTATTTCACGCACAAAAACATATTTACTTTTATATTTTGACAGCACATAATTTCAAATAACTAATCTATATATTTAAAATTATATGTACAATATTTTGCTTGTGAAGCTTATATCTCATAAATTTTAGCTGGAATAACTCAAATTCTTCCACCAGGGTCTAATGTTTGGATACGCAACTGATGAAACTGATGAATGTATGCCACTGACGGTCGTGTTAGCGCATAAATTGAATCAGAAAATCGCCGAGCTAAGACGAAGTGGCGAACTATGGTGGGCTCGTCCAGATTCAAAAACACAGGTTTGATTTTTGTATATCTATACATATTTTTCATTTATCTTAATTTATAAAGCGTAGAGTTTAAATCTGATGTGATAAACAAACAGAAAAGTATTTACCAGAATTTAAGAAATTTTTAGGAGATTTCCAATCTTAATTATTAGCGATACTTTTCATACTTAGAGATAATTAAAAAATGAGGTTTATAGACAGTGACGATTATTCGAAGATGAATTTTATGAAGTATTTGCTACTCGTGAAGTGCCATGATGTTAAAATTTAAACTGAGAATAATCCATCAAATATATATTTTTTTTTTTACAATACATTAATAATTGAAAATAAATTAGTGTAAAATTATACATAAAATGTAATTACGTATGCGATAGGTAACCTGTGAATATATCATGGACCATGGAACCTGCGTACCTATAAGAGTCCATACTGTTGTCGTGTCACTGCAACATAGTGAAAAAATTAGTCTAGATGAGCTACGTAAGGCGGTCATGGAGAAAGTCATCAAAGAAGTGATTCCAGCGAGATATTTGGATGAAAGAACAGTCTTCCATGTGAATCCTTGCGGGCTTTTCATTATTGGTGGACCACAGGTATCATTAAAGTTTCAAAAAATGAAGTTCAAAGATAGTGATGATTATTCGATGATGTATTTTGTATATTTGCTACTTTTGAATACTATGATACTAAAAATTAAACTGAGAATAATCCTTCAAATATATATTTTGCAATTTTTTAATAATTTGAAAAATTAATATACAATTACGTATAAAACGTATACGATTATAATATAATAATATATATGATTATGTATATACATAATAGTATTATGTATATAGTAATAATAGTATTATGTATTATGTATACAATAGTATATGATTATGTTTTAAACTATTACATGACAATGCAAATATTAATCAAAATAAAAATATGCATTATGTTTTTATAAGTTGTGTTCTCTCTTTCTGATATACTGTTATTACAAATTTCAGAGTGACGCTGGTCTTACTGGTCGAAAGATCATCGTAGATACGTATGGCGGTTGGGGAGCACATGGTGGTGGTGCATTTTCTGGTAAAGATTTTACGAAAGTGGATAGATCAGCTGCATATGCTGCAAGATGGGTTGCTAAATCCTTGGTGAAGGCTGGTCTCTGCAGACGTTGTCTTGTACAGGTAAAATTTAATATAAGCATCAAGATTTTGTGAAAATAAATTAAACAATTTCTGTAACTTTTATAATGTGAAATTTCATAACTTTGTATTATATAGAAAATTTGCAATTATTTGTGTTAGGTTTCTTATGCTATTGGAGTAGCGGAACCGTTGTCTATCACAGTTTTCGATTATGGCACATCCACGCGTTCACAAAACGAACTCTTAGACATAGTGCACAAGAACTTCGATTTGCGACCCGGAAAAATCGTTAAGTATGTATAATTAATTTTTCTCGTAATTTTAATACTTTTATTACACAAACTGTTAGAATAAATATTATTTTGTTTACATGATATATTTACAATGATTATATAATTCATTAATAATAAATCAAAAGAATATATAAATCAATTAAAATATATTATCTTCTTTATAGAGAGTTGAACCTTCGCAACCCTATTTATCAACAAACCAGTACATATGGTCATTTTGGACGAGACGGTTTCACATGGGAGCAACCAAAAAAGCTGGTCTTTGATTGATGAGAGGATGGATTTTAAATTGGTTTTGGCGTTTTTCGGTTTTAGATATTTGATAGAATCTGTTTCTCGTTCTCTAATTCTATCTCCCTCTCTATCTTTTTCTCGGAGAAAAAAAATCGTATTTCAAGTAAAAGAAAAGAATTTCGTCCGCGATATACTTCGATCTCCGTGCCGCAGCCATTATCGAGGCCATCGATTACGCCAATACTTAGCAATAGAGAGGACTAGGTATGGGCAATTCTCTTTCTAGTTCTTTTTGCCATGGAATACCGCATTATATATGTGACGACAGGCATAGTACAAATATCGTTTATAATCCAGTATATTACATCCAATCCAATACATTACATCGCATTATGAAAAAAGCGTTACGAAAAGAGCGAACTAAGCCTATATTATGAAGCGCATTTTCATGTTTAGATGTTTAAAAACTTCTTTCTTAAACTGATGTGAGTGATTTACAAGAAAACACAGGGAAGTGTCCCCCTCTGATTTTGACGAGTTTTAATTTGTGTAATCCAGACTAAAATAAAAGACGTTTTTTTTTATACATGATTATACTCATTTTTATGTAATGAAATGCTTCTTTTTTTTTTAAGTAGATCAATTTCTTTCAAAGCGAATATCGTCAAAACTGTTAAAAATTTGCTTACCATTATAAAATATTGCAGATCATTCACATACAATTTTCATCAAAAAATTTTTTTAATCTTTTATAGAGCTGATTTGTCATCCTCTAAAAGGAAAGTGTTTCATCCCCCAAAAGTGCATATTGTCATATAAAAAAAATATGTTTTTTATTTTAGTCTAAACTATGGCTGCGATCCACTTAGCACTTCAAACGCTACAGAGCATTTGTAGCACTGACATGGCTGGTCTATTTGATGCTTCAGAATGCTCCCAGCAACTCTGATTACGTCATCAATACGTCATCGTTTTTGCTCCCACTTCGCTCCAACTGCCTCACCTCGGAAGGTAGGTTGGCTGGAGCATTCACGTAGCAATTGTAGCATTCGAAATAATAATGGACCAATCGGAGCGTAGCGTTTGGAGCGTAACGTTCAGAGCATTTGGAAGAAGCAAGTGGACCGCAGCCTATAACGTATTAAAAACTGATTAAAATCGGAAGAGATAGATACTTTTCTGTGTTTTCTTGTCAGTCTGGTAACAGCAAATTACATGCTGATGCTATTTACTTGCAAATAAGTAAGAAGAAAAAAAACTTGTAGTAGATAAAATTTTCATCTTAAAAAAAAATGTATAAACAAGCGCATATCGATACGTGTTTTCAGATTCGAGAATGTAACTGCAGATCTTATAGATTTTTAGCTGTATTAGTCCCTCGCACGTACATGAAAGTTCGATGCTCCGATTTGATTAGTTAATGTTCATTTTTACCAGTGTAAGTTAAAGTTAATTTATATTGATAGAAATAGACATAAACGAGCTAATTTTTTAATCAGAATGCATAAATCACATACCGCTGATTTACGTAAAGTATTTTATTTCATTAATGACACTATCGAATTACCGATCGATCTTTCGTGTACGTATCTTCACTAGAATTATTAATCGTTGAGGAGAAAAAAGAAGTGTAAATTGACAGTGTATTCTTGATGTATGTGTAGCAAAGAAGGAAATGACGTTGCACGTCATGAACGCGTCACGTTCATGAGTTTTACGAAAGATAGTTACAACATAATATCGGATAAAATACATTATCAATTAGAGTAGAATCATCATTAAATATCTTAGAGTATTTAAAAATCATCAGATTAGAGTTTACAGCTTCGTAATAAAATTAGATTTCACATCATTTTATAGTATAGGTACACGCGAATATTCGTAACTATGCAATGTATTTAATAACTCCATGGAATGTACGGTCATTTCCCCCTTTGCTATTGTTTTAACTAAATAGAACAATTGCAGCAGATATTATAAAAAGATGCGAAATTGAAAATCTAATCTCGGTAGAGATCCAGCACAGACCGTGTGACGGAGCTCGAAACTGTTGTAGAATTTTTCATTGTTCTTTGGTATATATATTATCCGACATTGTCGGATTTTAATAGCAGACAAAAATTTAAAAACCCTTGTAAAAATATTTAATCACCTTCTGGCAGAATTGATGTGTGCGATTTGCGTGAAAACGATATCGGCAATATGTAATAGTGCACAGATCATGAAAAAAAAACACAATAAAACGGATTTTTTAATAAAAAAACATTCTCTGTCGTTTTGTGTACTACCGCACCATTACATAGATAAACATTATCCTCGATCTTCCTAGAATTTACGCAACACATAATTTGCTCTTAACAGACTAATATTGCATTTCTGTGAATGTTTTCCCGGCAAATGGCATGAGCTCTGTCGCACAAGACGCTGCGACTGGCTATATAGTTCGCGAATATAGCGAGTCATTTTTATATGCATTTACACGGTCACTCTACAGTATAACGAAATGTATAACATGTAGAATAATCCGAATAATCAAATAGCTCCCGTGTTCCTGTTGCCGCACATTTTGTTACATTGTAGCGATACTTTTACAGTAGAGTACCATAGCGTATATATATATCCAGTAAAGTAAATTTAAATAAAACTTACACAAGACTCGTCAGTGCAACTTAGGCCCTGCGCACAATAGAAAGAATAAGGAATTAGGAATAAAGAATAAACGATTTTAACCTATTTTAGAAATCGAATATATCGGAATACACGGTTTCTAATAGGTTAAAATCGTTTATTCTTTATTCCTAATTCCTTATTCTTTCTATTGTGTATAGGACCTTATTCCTATTGTACATAAGCGACATTTTGTAATATTTTTCTCCTTTTATATGCCAAGTAATTCTCTTGTTTTAAAATATTTCCCTCTATAAATAACTATATATAGCATACAATAGGTTTTAGGAAGCCAGGTAATAAGGATAATAATCATAATAGAATAGCATTTATGTGCACATAAATAGTTCCATTAAGATAGCTTTGTATTTAGAACTATATACATCAATTATAGATAATCTTAAACTTACATCGGAAAGAGTACACGATACATAATCATTTAAGATATATTGAATATAAAAATTATAATATAAGAATATAATTGCTGCCTAAAAGGGAAAGCTAAATTATATTAATGCAATCAATGTTATTATTCTATATTCAGCTGACGTTTTTATCATGTCGCATATGCTTCGTTCAAATTGCACTTAGTATTAAAAAATGATACGGAATTATAATTCCTTTATGCGTACAAAAATATCAATTGAATAAAAAAATGTTCGGAACTTAAAACTAATATTGAGTTTATTTTAATCATTCTTGTATAAATAGCAATGAAGTAATCGAGATGTTTCAAAATTTTTAATATTTTTTGTTTTAAATTTTTTAATGTTTACATTTTAGATTCCGTTTCATGTACATACAAATGGATTGTTTTTGGGTAAGTTTCTTAAATAAGATTTGCTAATATTTATACAAAAGTGACTAAAATAAATATACATTAAATGTTCCTTAACATTAAATGTATGAATTACATATAAGATTACACAATTAAGCCCGTTTCTCAATGAAATAAACACAAAAAACTCTTCAAAAATCTAGATTAAAAATTTTTCTCGCTAATATAGACAATTCACTGCAGGTCTAATTCCGACACAGATCAAAAATTGGAAAGAATTTTTCATACCCACTAGATCCCAGGAAAATCACAACAAACTGAGCAAAATATTGCTCAATTTGCTATGAGTTTCTTGGGCGCATGGATACGACTGTGTCTTAGCAGTGAACTCTTATCTGTAAATGTCTTCTCACACTCGACGCACTTGTACGTTCTACCAGTGTGCGTAACCAAGTGCCTGCTGAGACCCGACGCGTGACAAAACGCTTTTGGACAAAGTTGACAATGATGCAATTGAATATCATTCGGATTCAATTTCTGATGCCGACGCATGTGCACCTTAAGTGCTTCTCGCTGCGTGAAGCTCTTATCGCAATGCTGGCACTGGAACGGTTTTTGGCCAGAATGTGTCATTAAGTGCCGGAACAAAATCTCCTTCTGAGCGAAAGCACGGTGACAGATGTTGCAACCAAATGGTTTCTCACCTGCAATATAAATAAAGATAACATTAATCGTATTATTTATATCCTATAATAAATTTAATAATTATGCATTTTTCAACGTATTGTTCATTAACAAACACTACGTGACTTGTATTGAAAAGAAACGATCTGTTCAAAAAGAAGTTAGACTTTTTACGATTGTGATTAAAATTTTTAATATCATAAATTTGAAATGGCAGATCTTTTTCTTAATAGGCAAATTGTCCGAGACAATTTCAGCGAGCTAGCCAGATAAGCTAGTCAACATCTCCAGGAAGAAATAATATTGAGAAAAATGTCTACAAATATCTAGTTTATATGTGTGTATCCATAATTAATATGCACGAAACAACAAATACCAACCTGTATGTGTACGCTCGTGTCTCACTAACGCAGATCTTGTCGGAAACCATTTTTCGCATGCTTGACACGTAAATCCCCTTTGTGTAGAATGTACTGACTGATGACTCTTCAACATTATTCTCCGGGTGAACGCTTTCGGACATTTGTCGCATTTAAACACCTTCAATTCTGGATTAGCATCAACTGCAATATACATTTGCCTTTTATGTAACTGTCGCATTCTCGTCATTTCTCCTTTATTACAGTATCTTGTAGAATTCTTTACCGATTGTGTCACCCAAAGGCTGTAACTTCAACGAATCAGGCTCATTGGGATTGTCGCTAGTGACCTCCATCATGTAAACATTTTTATGTTCATTTCCTATTCCTCGCTGCATCTCTTCCGTCTCGTCATCGGACTCCTGCTCCTGTTTGATACGCGATGTCCTTATCGTACAGCGTGCCTTCGCCATTCGTTCCTCAGCAGGTACCAACGTGATGTTCTCCGGATCCTCCGAGATATTTTCCTCCATCTCCGGATTTTCAGAAGTCATTCCTGCATATCAATTAATAATAGTATATATATATGAACTAAATATTTATAAACGTTTCCCAATGTTACTTCCTACCAGAGTAATAAATTTTAAATACAAGTTTCTAAAATAAAGATTAAGCAATCTTTTCTAATAAAATTTTCAATTCTAAAAAGCCAATGGAAATTGGTCCATTTATAACTATAAAGCAATGAAATAAACTCCTTGTCAGTAACACACCCAGGATATAGCCACCAACGAGTTCTTCCTCTGTCACCTCGATAGGATCTCCATCTGTCTGACCACTGTTGCCTTTTGTTGAAACCAGATCAGCTAGCAGCTGCTTAACTTGCTTGGACTTTCCTGTGGATTCTTGAGACTCGTCCCTACTGCTATCCTGGTTCTCGCCTTCTTCGTCCTGTCCAGACAACTGTTGTATCAACTTCATATGCTTTCTGAGCTTGGAGTCTGCAGCTTGGCATTTTTTTCTGAATTGATAGGATTTCTCCAACTGGTATTTGCAGGGATGACATATCATGTTAGGCAGGCCATCCTGCTCAAAAACCTAAAACATTGATATCAAAGTCTTCAGTTTATCAACTTTAATTATATTAAGGCTTAATGAGATAAATGGAGCTAAACTGACATATTAAAAAAATGTAGTACATATTTTTTATCAATACAATTTACATGAGATTCCACTCCAAAGAATTCAGTAACAATCTCAAAATCTAACAAAATTTATCTTGCCTTTCTTTAACATAGTCGAAGGTTTCGGATCGGAACGCGGAACGCTCGAGTATCTTCCGGAGTTCAGGTGCCATCGAGAGAAGCCATTTATAAAGGACGGCGCGTCTCAAAAAGCTGCGATTCCTCAAAGAAGCTCGACTACGAATTACATCGGGACGCTACACGTCCGACGCGTACTAACATTACAGATCTCTATAAATCCGTAGAGTAAACAGGAGTGCCTCCGCCGTGCCGGTTCTAGGTCTCTGTAATGAGGTAGTAGCGCGCGTAAAAGGCGCACCGCTATCTATCGTGTCGCATAAGTTCGTCGATAACTCGGTAAAGCCGGTACTTGCGAACCCGCGGCCGCGCGTAACATCGATCGCCCGTACAACGTCATTCGCGCGCGCACGCGTACACATGCATGTGACGTAGCGGACGTAGCAGTTATTGCCTTACCACTGTTACCGTGCGCCGCGCGTCAATGTGTACGTGTCATGCATATACGCAACACACGCGGCGAAGAGGGGAGATAATATGCGAGAGGACGCCGTGCGCAGAGAGATAAACTAGATTCCTATTTTTCAATGAGCGACTCCTCCGGCCGCTGATTATTATCGCCCGATGCGAATCGATCGTGCCGACAACGGTGACGACGAGGACGACGACGACGACGCAATGTTTTTCGCGACGGTGATTTGCGTCGTGGAATTCACACGTATCTTTTTCTATCCTCTCCTCACCTCGACCCACCTCGATATTGACGCAGGAGAGTATCCGCAGCGGCATCGGCACGGTCTCGTCGTCGTAGATCGGCACCATTTCCTCTTCCTTCGCCAGGCAGAGCCGGCATAGCTCGTTGACATGGATGATCACGTTGCTCGGGCTGTCGCCCTTTTTCCTGCTGTACGTTTTCATCATGCGCCCTTTCCAGCCGTGGGTGCCCGCGGTGCCGCTCTCGTCGGTCTATCTGTTCTACTCCGGAGTATCCCTTTTCCCACCTTCCCACGCTCTAGCCAGCTCTATCTGTCCCGCGCTCTCCTTTTTCGAATTTGCGACAAGTGCACGATCGGAGCGTGTAACGTCGAAAATGCGACGAAGTTTTCTCGAGTGAGAAGTCGCAATCGGCCAACGGACTCGGTCACACACAACGGAATCTATAATGGCGGTCGTCCTCAATGGCGGGCGCGTACGGCGGACTGCAGCGCTGCGTCCTCAATAGCGGAAGAAATATCCGTGCGCGCGCTACGCGAGAGCGAGAGAGACGCGCGATCCGGACGGCAGCGAGCGCGAGCGAGAGGTAACGAACGAAGAGAGAGAGAGATCTCTAAAGCCGATCGAACGACGGGGCAGAAACAGCGTCGCGCCGTGCCGTGGGAGAAGCGTCGGGAGGAGAAGTGTCGGGAAGGAGATCGAATGAGTGGCTGCCATTGCCGCGCGCGAGAGTCGGTAAGGGCGATTACGATTATTGATCTTCCATTCTTCCCAACGGCGGGAAATGCGAGCCCTGCCCAGTCTCTCTCCCACGCGGGAAAAATGGACTGTTGTAACGGATACATACGGATATGTACATACATTGTAAAAATTACAACAATTGTACTGGCCAGGTAATTTCAAAGTTCACTATCGCTAAGGTGTATATTTAGATCCCCGAAGTATATTTAGACTTGAAGTAAAACCACTATCAACTTACAAATAAAATTATTCTTCTTTGTAATAACTAAAAAATTTGTAAAAAAATTTATTCTAATGAAATTAAGTTTATAGAAATATTTAAGTATTAATTAGTCAATTAATTATATACAATTTTTCTTAAACCATGTTATCAAAGTGTACGACTATAAAATTGTAAATATGATATGTGTGATATCACATTACCAGTATGTTATGTAATGTTACAAAAATATGCATACGTTTCATAAATTTTCCGTTTCATATGAAGGTATATTTACGCGATTAGATGTAAAAGTCCTAGTTTTTGTAAAAACATACAATTTTATATATTTTCATCATGAATTAATTTTTATGTAGATAATTTTTATTATAGATAATTTCCTCTCGTCGCACGCGCCTCTTCGGCAGGAAGAACCACCGTGGAAAATGAAGGAGGCATGCGATGTGCACCGCTCGCCGCGCTCATCTCCTCGGTCATCCAGGGCGATACGTATCGTCGGATAGACCGATAGACCGAGCTCTGCATCTAAAACCGCTTTACGTAAGTCGTAGCTCCCTCATTATCAATTTGGAAACAGCTTCACCTGAATTAGCTAAATCGACAATTAATTCACCCAGCAAACTCGAATCATCGTTCCTTTTGATTTTTCTGATACATGTACCCCTCGTTGACAATAGAAACAATGAAAATGTTTCGTTGCGTTTAACAATCTAATGTTCATTTCTACCAATTTAGATTAACTTATTTAATGTCAATCAACTATTCATTTAACTTACTTTTTATCTTTTTCTAAACATTAGAAAGAGATAAAGAATAAATTAAACTGTAATTAAACTTAATCTGTATTAGTGGAAATAAATATAATGCAACATTCGAATCGAATTATAGTTCGGCAATTAATCCTATTGGCAAAATTAGTGTTGAAACTATTTGTCTATTTTTTCACATGTTAAACAAAAAAATTAATATAATTCTATTAATGGTAATAAAATAATACAGGAATCAAATAATTACCGATTAAGTCAAACGGAGTTCGTTAATCATAGTCATCCCTAAATATTCGGACTATAATAATATGTCCGAAATCGATGACTCTTTTTCCAAACATTAAGTAACAAAATGGAGATATTAATAATTCTATTCATATTAATACAAATATTATTTAATATAAATTAGGATAGCACAGATAGTGCTTAATATAAATTAAAATAGTACAAATATTATTTAATAAATTAATCATCGATTATAAATTAATTAAAATTTGATCAAAATTGCCCTAAAGTAATTGTTAGTGATCGTCGATCTCAAATTACTCGATTCTCATGTTGTATCGTTAAAGGACACACCCTATCTGTCGAAACTGCTATAAACGTAAATTATTATATTAAGATGTCCGCTTTTTGTAATATTGCAACGAAACGTTCCAGCAATATTGTAATGTAATGTATTTGGATAAATTTTTTATGAAGACTAAAATGAAAACTATTTTTGTACATATATCTCACTAACTTCAATTTTTCTTATACATATCGCATTTCTAGTGACATGTGCTTTTCAAAAGCAATTTTTTATGATAAAACCATAAAATATTTCAATAAATGTATTAATTCTAAAGGATAAATTTATTCTCAAGAGGATAAAGCATGTATGTGTGTGTGCCCTGGGCAAATATTGTCAATCACAAATATTATCCACATTAACGTAATAATATAATCGCTTGATAAGTTAATCATGAATTAAGTTAATTGCAGTGATCCGTTTCAATTCGAAACCGAGACAATTGAAATCGATTAAAAAATGACGGTATGAAATTTATATATCAATAAAGTTCTGTCGCTGGTTTATTACTGCGTGCACATTAAGCATAAATACATCATCGATCACATAATTAATATTTCGATAAATCGTTTTCAGCAGCTTAATTGCTTATCGTTTTATCCGATAATGATGCGTTCATTGTATCCAAAAACTCGATATTATACAATCTTTTGATTTCATATTTAAAATAAAAATAAAATTTAGCTAATAAAATGGTCGTCAAATAATAGATTAATAAATTTTTTATTTGAAATTATAAAAATAGATTATATTAATTATTATATCATAAAAACGACTGTTAAACTAAAAGACTGTATTACGTAAATATTATAAAAAACTATATTTTTATATTATTATAGTAACAATTAAAGAATTACAGTTTTGTAATGTGTTTGGAATATTACAAGTATATTACTGACATCTTGCAGGCATATTGTTAATTTACATTTCTGTAATATTTCTGCAATGTTACATTGCAATCTACAATATTGCAACATTGCAGTAATATTGCTTCAATCTTCTGTGCTACATGGGTAGGATCGTAATGTATAAATATATGTAAACTTTGAGAAAAAGGAATATTATTCTTTCCCGTTCGATTACATACCTATATTGATAAATAAACCTATATTTAAATGTAAATTAAAGGTCTTATAATATTTTTGAAACATCATATCTTGGGAACAATTGAACGTACGTTAAAAAAACCTTTTCGAGCTAATTATATAAGATTTAGAAATGTTTATCTACATTTTTCACATACGATTAGTCACAAACAAATTATTCATTAAAATGTATTACAATCTGAGAAAATTTATTTATCTCGACAACTATTCACCATACGAGGTTCAATAAAACACGATTTTGTAAAAAATTTAATAATCTTTGACCTTCGTAGGAGATACTTTGTACGTAAAAGTACCCAAACCTGAGAAATTTAAGAAAAAATTTCCAGTTGTCGAAATGACCAGAAATATAACATTCTTAAAAAAATTCTGTCACATAAAGTATTGATCGTACGACTTTACAATAACCGAAATTGTTCCTAATTTTATCAACTTCCTTTTTGACAATAATTTTTCATTCGAAATAATAAAATGAAAATAAAATAAATATCTTTTGAGATATTTTCGAAAAACCGAATTTTTTAACAGTATTTTGAAGCTGGAAAGTTTCCAAGTTTCCTGGCCGTAACTACTTTTAATATGTTTTATAATAGGCCATTTCGAACAAATTTCTACACATATATCTTTCATGGCAATTTTTCCACCACAAAATTTAATTTTCCTGGGCACAGTCTGTTCATTAAATTATCTATTATATAATTAATATGGAAGCGATATTATATTAGAGTAGATGAATTGTACAGTTCGAAATTTGTTTTTAAGTAATTTTTAATTAATCTCTGATTAATATATAAAAGTACATATTAAAAATTAAAGTTTTTGTAATTGAAATAGATAGAAATGGATTCGTGTGCCCATTGCTAAATACAAAATTCTGATTTTTCGGATACTGCGTACGTACGACTTTGCTTATTATTTCTATTTCCACTCTGCTACAATATACGTATATACACAAGCCACTGACATTGATCTTCATATTGATGTTCGTTCGACAACATATAATAGCCGCGTATAGAGGAAAGTCGCCGATACTGACATAGGTCTCCCAAAGTGACACCCCCTTATTTTTCGGAAACTAACTATTGCACTTTATTAATACTAATAAAATCATGATCTGTTTAGCTAATTAAAGAAGTACAAACTCATAATTCGTAGGTTTGTTTCTATATCAAATCAGATAAAAACGAATTCTACAAATGCGAAAATAAAATTCTTACGATTTTCTTTTGCAAATTGTGGGGTTTAAATAATAGTGACTATATTATTGATAATATTACGTCATTTTAAATACTTGTAGTTTCCGAAATAAGTTTTATTTATATCATTTTTTCTTTTAGTCTTTTCATAATACGATTTTTAATTTAAAATTGGGGTGCAGCGTAAACCGACACACCTGTCCGTAAAACAGACCATGAGCTAATTTAATCTTTATAACGTTGCTTTATAGTGTCAAATAAATCTATTGGAGCTGAAGGTAATCGTGCATATACGGAACAACTCTAGAAAAGCTATCGCGTTACATATTTGCATCTTGCAGAACAGCATAAAGTAAATATGCATATAATTCAATAAAAATGTTTTATAACGAAGTAAAATGATTCTGAAAAATCTTATATACA